CTTTGCTACCCCTTACATTTTTATCTTCTCCGATTGGTCTTTTTTTTTTTTTTTTTTTTTTTGGAGACAGAATCTCGCTGTGTCGCCTAGGCTGGAGTGCAGTGGCGCGATCTTGGCTTCCTGCAAGCTCTGCCTCCCAAATTTAAGAGATTCTCCTGCCTCAGCCTCCTGAGTAGCTAGGACTATAGGCATGGACCACCATGTCCAGCTAATATTTGTATTTTTAGTAGAGATGGTATTTCACCATGTTGGCCAGGATGCTCTCCATTTCCTGACCTCAGGTGATTCACCTGCCTCTGCCTCCCAAAATGCTGGGATTACAGTCGTGAGCCACTGTGCCCGGCCCAATTACTCCTTTTCATGACAAACATCGATAAACTCTATCATTACCTTTAAAATCTATAAAATTAACAACAAAAAACACAAAAATTATAATAAAGATTAAAATAGCAGTAATAGTAAAACATAGACCATTTTAAAAAGACCCTATTTTTGTGTTTACACATATTAGCTCATTTAAATCTTACAACAATCCTATAAGGAAGGTACTATTATTGCCCCTATTTTACAGATGTGGACACTGAGGCATAGAGCTTAAGTAACTTGTCTAAACAACACAGCAAGGAGATAGCACAGCTGGGATTTGAACCCAGATATCTGGCTCCAATGTCTATGCACTTAACTGTTGTGCAAGGGTGTAGTGAAATTAGCATTCTTATTCACTGCTGGCATGGTGTATTTGTTCAACCCTAAAAAGTTAAACATAGAGTTACCATATGACGCAGCCATTCCTCTTCTACATATATATCCAAGAGGCTTGAAAACATACATTCACACAAAAACGTAGCAGCATTATTTATGATAGCATAAAAATAGGAACAATCCAAATGCCCCACAATTTTGAATAGACAAAATGTGGTATATCCATACATTGGAATACAGAGAGAAAAAGATATTAAATACTGGTACATGCTACAACTTGAATGAACCTTGAAAATATTATACTAAGTAAAAGAAACCAGACACAGAAGGCCATAGATTATAGGTTGTATTGATATAAAATGTCCAGAATAGGCAAATCTATAAAAACAGAAAGTAGGTTAGGAGTCCCCAGAAACTGGGGAATGGGAAGTGACTGTTAATGGGTATGAGGTTTCTTTCTGGGGTGATGAAAATGTTATGGAATTAGATAGTGGTGATGGCTGTAACTTTTTGAATATATTAAAAACCATTAAATTGTATGTTTTAAGGTGGTACATTTTATCGTTGTAAATTTTATATCTCAATTTAAAAAATCTCTAGGTAGGGAGAGAACAGGATCTGAGTCCATTGATGCCATTGTATTACACTGCCACATGGTGTCACCGTTGAGGAATGGATAAAGTCTAAAGAAGGCTTACACAAAGCTTGTGTCCAGGTCATGTCCAAGGTACAGAGGTGCCCCAGGATTGGAATGAAGATTAAAATCCAAATTTTGGGGAGCACCATCGCAGAATGATTTAATATTAAAGAGCTTCTAGCCTCAGTCCCACACTGTGCAACTATTTGTGTCCTTCACAGACTAAAGTTCTTGGCTAAATCTGGTTCTCAGATCAATGGGTAAATTCAAATCCTTGTGAAAGCATGTCTGTTAAAAGGAGATATCTCTGGGCACATCTTAAATTCCCAAACACTTTATTTTTTGAAAAACTGCTTCTTTATGGAGGTCCAAGGAAGTAATCAGCAATTTTACTGTCCTGGGATAGGGAGCATCATATGAGTTGAGGATTTTACATCAATTTTCTCTAAAATATTTATCTACTTAACTCAGTGTATACACATATATACATAAATATGTGTGTGTGTGTGTGTGTTTGTGTGTGTGTGTGTGTATATATATATATATATATCCAGCAATGGAAATTGTTATATAGACACTTACTGAAAATCCTTTAACTGTTAAAAATGGTAAATGTAAATGCAATGTAGCAACATAAAAATCCTTACATTATAATGCAAGATGATATAAAACACATATTTATATATGTGTAAAAATATGCACATATAAATTCAAAAATTCATGCAACTGAAAATAATTCACATACTCGTTAAAGTTATATGCCATTTGATACTGAAATAAATTTCCTTTACCCTCTTACTCCACATTTGATAAAATGTGTCCATTATCTATACCAAGACTTTTTTCTCAATTCCCCAGGCATATTTTTCTATGGTCACTTTTTTCCACTTATGTTTTAAAATTATGAACAACATCATACATACAAGAATATTTATAATGTGTGTGTTCAGGTTAAGGTGCATCCATCAGGAATCAGTGGTTTGACTAAAGAGATATTAGTGAAGCCACTACTTAAAGGGGCATGACTAAGTTAAGAGAACCATCCAGGTGAGGCATCCAGAGTCTAGCAACAGCAGGAAGATTGTGCTCTCTCTAGGCTACATAGTAAGGGAGAAAAGTGTTTCCAGAGCCCACGGTGTTGGAACCATGGAGAAGGGACCACTTGCCAAGAGCTGCAGTTGTGGAGAAACACAACCGACACCAGATACTCAGCCCCAAACAGAGAAAGAATAGAGAAAATATATCCTGATGTATTTTTCCTTCTGCCTCCCATCTGCCTGAATGCCTCGAGGCCACAGTCCAAATCCAAATGGAAACCAGCTGAGGAGAGCCCAGGCGATGCCGTCCAAAGAGATCAGCTTACTTAGATCTTGACCTTGGGCTGCAGTGTTCATCCTTGCAGAGTTAGTGTTAGCAAGAATCGTGCTAAGTCAGTTTAGCAAGGATTTCCCCTACCCTTGATGTCTCTTCTTAGTAATTTTCCATTCACTGACCCCACCCTCACTGACTCCACCTGCTCGTTGGCTATAAATCCCCACTTAACCTTACTATATTCAGACTTGAGCCCAATTATTTACCAAGGTCTCCTTTCCCCTGTTTCAAAAGGCAATGAATAAAAATCTATTTTTACTGCTTAAACTACTGTCCAGCTTTGATTTTCTTCAACAAGCCCCATCAGCCACCATATTGCCTTGAGGTGATGTCAGTTCAGGCATATTCTCAGCTAGAAGCTACATTGTAATATTTATCTCCACCGGTACCCTTCATGCAGGGTAATAGGAAAAGAGGGTCCGGGAAGAAGTAATAAACATTTTAAATGTAGAGCTACTAGAATTCCTGCCTCTATAGCTTGTTGCCAGGCTAAAATTAATAATCATAGCTTCCTACTCATTTACTTACGTTTCCCCTTCCCTATGACAGCACCTAAGTAGATCAGGACTTTTTTCCTGCTACGGTGCGTCAACACTTGAATTTCTGCATGACCTGAAATTTCTGCATTAATTCATTTATCTGATAATCGTTATTATTGTACATGGTAGGGTTAAGAAGTGCCCAGTGAATCTCTAGGTGTCATTCGTACTTCTCATGCCCTCAATATATAGAGGTAACCCAATTTCCCCTTGGTAATTGAGATCAATCATCCCATTCTATCACTATGGGGAACCAAAATGACCAGAGGGCAGTTTCAGCTTTCAATTCAATGAATTGAAATTCAGTTCCATTCTATCCAGTGACTGGGTCCTCTAGCGGAAGCATTTTTTCCTTTGGATCTAGGCTTCCAAACACAATAAGCCCAAGCTTGTAGAAATGATGTGCTGGGTATTTTCTATTTATCCCTCCAGGCATTGTGCCTAGGAGGCTGACCTCCACAGACTGCACAGACCTAGCTCCCTTGTCTTCTCCTGGTGGATCCAGCCAATGGAAGACTCCAGTTGGATATTAAAGCTGGGAGAACAGAGAGCTGGGTCTCCTCCACTCTGTTCCTGCTTTGGGCTGAGGTCGCAGCATTGGCTACAACTATAGAATCTCACCCTACTTGGTGAAAAGTTGGCATTGCTTGCTTTCCTCTACTTAACAACATAGTTCCAGTTGGTTACTCTCTCCTACAGCCACAGCTACCGATCTCGCCTGGTTTTAGTAATCCTCCCGTCCCCCATTCTCTCAGCCCTAGAGTTAGTAACAGCACCCCGCTGTTACTGGTTACTGTTTATTGAAGGCTATGTGCCAGACACTGTGCTAAGTATATTATCTGATTTAGTCCTCATAACCCTACAGAGGGCTTTAGTCCTATTGCACAGGTGACGGTCACAGACTGACAATGACTGAGCTAGAAATTGAAGGTAGGTGTGTTAATGCTAAAGTCTGTGCACTCAAACACGATTCCTTACTTCTTGTATCAGTTGTTAACCTCCCTTAAAGAGTGTCAGAGCTTCACAGGCCTTTGCTCCTGGTAACCTGCCCATTCCCACAACTGGAAAAAGAGATGCTGTTGCAATTTCCCCATCCAGCCATTCAACAAATAGTCTCTGGAACGTGGGACCCAAGCTCCAGAATCCCGCGGGCTGCTCTTGAGAGCATCAGGATGCGCCCAGGTCAGGGCGGTGTTCACTCACAGGCTGAGCCTAGAGGAGGTTACGTGACTTCTCCACCGCTGCGGTGGTGAACAGGGACCCTTCCCGAAGGCCAAGAATGATGAAGTTCATGCTATTTTCCCAGGCCATTTGGTAGCAAAGAACAGAGTGCCAACAATTCAAGTATTCTCTCAATGAGGCTGGGAGAGAAACTTGGCTTACTCAAGATAGAAATTGCTAGTGCGATTGAGACGAGACAGACATCTCTCAGAGCAGCAGGGAAGAAAGACGGCTCTGTCCAAAAGAGAATGAGTAATTTCGGTCAAGTCTGTTCTTTTTCGTTCCCGTCTTATCTTCATGCTTCTTTAATAGTGGCAATTTAACAGATAAGGGAGCAGAGGCCTTGTAACTATGAATTCCACTCCGCTTCCTCCGCTTCCTCTCAAAACACTGGCAGCTGAGTTGCCGCGCTTTCTAATTTGCCCCGTTTGGCCTGCCCCTCCCACATCCGGTCGCAGGGCGCCTCTCCCGGAAGAACACACCAGGCTTCTCCCGTAAGCGTGCTGGCCCTTTAAAGAAGCCGACGGCTGCGCGGATTGGCTGAGGCACGTCATCTACTATGGCTCGGCTCCAATCCCGAGGCTGGGTGGGGCGAGGCCCGGTCCCTGTAGCGGGCGAAAGGACCACGGGCTTGGGGGCCACTGCTCGGGTCGCCCGGTCCCCGCGCCTCCGCTGCCCAGTGAGTGAACACCGGCCGCGGGCGGGTGGGGGAAGGATCGGCCCGGCCACGTCAGCCAGCGGGATCTCCTGCGCTCCGGGCTTGCCAGGCCGCGCTGGGCGCCCGCTCCTCGTGAGCGCCGGCGCTTGGCTCTCGCACTGCCCCTGGTGCTGATGGGTATTGCCAACCTCGTTCCATTAGAGTGCGTTCTTGTCGCCTGGCTTGGACTCGGGATCTCTCCGTAGCGTTATAACAGAGTTGAGAAAAACTGGCAGTGTTATCAGCAGAAATCACACCATTGCGGGAAATACCTCAATTACAGTCATTGGCCTTGGGGAGTGTGAGGGTGGTGGTAATTAAGAAAACCTCCGGAAGCTGTAGGCTCTGAGCTGGTATTTGCTGGGGGAAGTGGCTTAGTTTGAATGGAATGCAAATATTTATGGAAAGTGATTGTGGTGAGACGGTCAGTCATACATTTAGGTATTGTGTCATTTGATTAGGAAGTACGTCAGCGCAGTAATTCCGATGACAATTCATGGAATTAATCCCCCCCGCCCCACCAAGTAAAATCAAATGCAGGTACACAGGAGTGACCAGAAGAAAAGGCTGTGTGGAACTTGCAGCCTCCACCTCCCCCCACCCCCCAAGAAATACACGTTTCCATAGTAATCCATAGCTCACCTGAGGCAGGGCTGAAGCATTAAAGACCCCTTTCAAGATCTCAGAAGGAATCAAAGGGAAAATGAAGTCAGAGGGATTGAAATCAGCATTCTCTGCAAAGCATCACTCTTGAGACACAGTGATGTTTAAACTGTATAAATAACAAGACATTTTTTTTCCCATGGTAAAAAGTGTTAGAATTTTTTAAAGACTTACCTTATACAAATGAGTGAAATCAAATTTATCCCTATTGCAAGGTCAACTTTTGTTTATGTTCTGATATGTATTTTGTGAGCAAGAGGAGATAGCTGAAATTGTTCTGGACACCCTAGGGAATATTCCCAGACTTTGGGAAATGACTGTCAGGAATGGGGAAGTTGGGAAAGGAGAGGAGGTTGAAAATAGGGAACTCCAAGGTGAAATTTCAAGGTGTGGTGCATTTATTCTCAGGTGTTGTTTCCCATAAGGAAGCTCTTCTTCCTGCTTGGCTTTCACCTTTAACCCTTCCACCTGGGCACGTCCTCTAACACATTCAAACTACAAGTCCAGACCCAAGAAAGCAAGGCCCAGACAGAGGTAAGTCTAAATACTAACTTCCTAGACAGTGTTTCTTTCCCAGGTGACTGACGGGAGGACTGTCTCCCTTTTCAGGGGAGATCCCACCCCCTTATAAACAGGAGCACTTTAAAGTACACAGCTCTGTGACATACAGGGTGTGTGCAGGAATGGCACTAGAGGATGGTTATTTTCTTTATAAATGTTTGCCGCAGGTGTAAAAATGTAGTCATCAACTCCTATGTTCAGAAGAAAAATAAGGACTGGGAAGTGGCCTGAGCCACAGTTTTTCTTACATCTCTCATGCTTTGTGCAAACATTTAAGGGAAGTAGACATGATGGAGACTGCCAAGATGAATAATGTCTTGCTCCTAACCTCAGGCAGGTTCTGGGCTGCTGTTAGAGATGAGTCACATGGGGCAGTCAAGGTTTGGAGAAAGGAAAGAACTGCCAAATCACCCTGCTCTCAGTGAGTGGCCTCTAACTCTGGTCACAGGGTGCTGGAGTGGTACAGTGGCAGAGGAGGAGGGAAACCTCACCACCTCAGGCCTGTTCAGCACTGTGCCTCTTCATCCTGGTAAGTGGTTTGGTATCCTGTGCTCACCTTTGAAGCTGACGTGTATTTTGTGAGCAAGAGGAGATAGCTGAAATTGTTCGAGCACAGAGCCCTGAAACTCCAGGGTGTGTCCTTGCCCAGAATACAAGGAAGCCACTGAAGTCTTGCTTACAGCTCCCACTCACCTGGAATCCTGTTAGCAGGGATAACCCATCTATCATGACATGAAATACCTCCTCTCTCTCCTCATCTTCTTCCCGGCCAGAACCCAGAAATTCCTGCTGAGGATATATAAAGCAGAAGCTCTGTCTGGGCTTCTCACAGAATACTTGTGAATCCTGGCTATAATGAATTAGGACTGGCCGTTCTTACCTAAGGTTCACAAACCTACTCAACAGCCTGTTAAAGAGAAAAGGTATCAGCAACATTGTTGAGAAGGGTAGAGCAGTTGTAACTTTCCCTGAGTTTTTCAATATTATGAAATGCAATCAACAACTAACTCAAGATCTTCTTTACCCACCCAGTTGGATTAAGGACAAAAATTGGAGTTCTGTTTCATGTAGAGTTGACAGCACACTTAAAAACTTATATAAGACAGACACTACTGTGTATTCGTCTAAAAAGTCCATTCCCAGGACATTTCAGTATGGTATGTTTTTCCAGTTTTGAGAGCTTTAGTACATACTAGGTTGGAGAGACTGAGAGTGAAGCTGGAGGAGGATGGTTAAGGCTGTCAGCAGTAAGAGGCATGAAGGAGACGGACAGGGACTGTGGTGGGATGATAGGAAGAATGACTGATTTATTGACCTTGAGACAGCTCAGTCTTCTTAAAATGGAAATGTAAAGAGCACAAAGAAATATGTTCTCAAGATGCACAAGGCATCTTCTGAATCACCCTTCCTCAGATGCAAAGGTTCTGGTGTCTAACTGTATGGAGGTAAGAGGATGGATGGTATCCACTCTGCCCCTCACAAAAAAAGGGAGTTGTTTTTTTCTTCAAGAATTCAGTTCTTCAAGATTTATAATGGGGTAAAAAAATCAGGAAACAGCCACATACTTACAGAGCAGGGAAAGATTTTGGAAATTATCTAGTTCAGTCAGTTGGTGTTAGGTGAGTAAAATGATGGCCAGACTTGTTAAATATGCCTGAGGTCAGGCAGCTAGTTGGGAGCAAGGAACAGAATCCACACTGTATGGCTGGATCAGAAATTTTCCTTTCTTTTTTTTTTTTTTTTTTTTTTACTTTGTCATAAGCCAAAGGTAGCTCAAAGCAGAGCATACAAGGATGCATGTAGTATATTATTAGAAATCTCTTTGTTTTTTTAAAATTTTAGGTCAAGATGGGGTTTATATTTTCAAAATCTATGAATGAAAACATGAAAAACCAAAAGGAGTTCATGCTTATGAATGCTCGACTTCAGGTATGTTTTTAAATAATTAAGCTATTATGTTGTTACAATGTTTAAAGTTTCTACCACATGTGTTCCAATCCTACATTCCCTTTGATCCCCCAAAATGTTCTTGGGCTGCATCCTCAAAACCAAGATGAAATGGATTACTAATTATCTGGTGAGTGGGCTAGTTTAAATCTCCAATCCAATCGAGATAAATTTGTGTAAAAATTTCTATTTTGTAGGAAGAGATAACTGCTTAGAGTATGTGGTACACAGAATCATGCCCCCTACCCCCAAAGATAATGTTTGCAATGGAGAAATTATCCTGGATTATGCAGATGGATTCATTGTTATGTCAAAGGCCTTTTTCTGTTTTTTTCTTTTGAGATGGAGTCTCACTATGTTGCCCAGGCTGGAGTGCTCGGCTCACTGCAACCTCTGCCTCCCAGGTTCAAGTAATTCTTGTGCCTCAGCCTCCCAAGTAGCTGGGATTACAGGTTTGCGCCATCACTCCTGGCTAATTTTTGTATTTTTAGTAGAGACAAAGTTTCGCCATGTTGGCCAGGCTGTTCTCAAACTCTTGGCCTCAAATGATCCACCTGCCTCAGCCTCCCAAAATGCTGGGATTACAGGTATGTGTTCCTGGCCCACAACGGTCTTTGTAAGAGAAAGAAGAAAGCATGAGAGTCAGTGTTAGAGAGATTGGAAGATGCTACACTGCTGACTTTGAAGATTCCATAAGGGTCATGAGTCAACAATTCAGGAAGCTCCTAGAAGCTGGAAAAGGCAAAGAAACATTATTTTCTAGACCCCTCACAGGGATGCAGTCCTGCCATCCCATTTTGGACTTCTGAATTCAGAACTATAAGATAATAGATTGGTGTTGTTTTAAACCACTAATTTTATATAATTTGTAAAAGCCGCAATAGGAAACTAACATGGAGTGTGAACTCTTAACATTGGATTTAGACAATGGCTTGACAGAAAAGATCAAAGCACTGCAGAAGATTATCTAATTGCCTAATACAGGTTGTAAAAAACATTTTTTTTTTTTTTTTTTTTTTTTTTTTTTTTTTTTTTTTGAGACGGAGTTTCGCTCTTGTTACCCAGGGTGGAGTGCAATGGCACGATCTCGGCTCACTGCAACCTCCGCCTCCTGGGTTCAGGCAATTCTCCTGCCTCAGCCTCCCGAGTAGCTGGGATTATAGGCACGCGCCACCATGCCCAGCTAATTTTTTGTAGTAAAAAACATTTTTAAAGGTTGCAAGTCAAAAAATCAAGTTTTAAGTTTGACTTGAATTATTTTCCTAAGAGTTCAAACAAAGATGTCTAGGCCTCTGTGGCCTAGTATGGCCCTGCGAGTAGAACGCCCTCCTGTAAGGCTTGAAGCTAGTGGTTAAAAATGAGGACTAAAACCAGACTGCCTGGGTTTGAATCCTAGTCCCGCCCTTGACTAACTGCGTGACTTGTGCCTCAGTCTCCTGATCTGTACACTGGTGGTAATAATACTCCCTTCAGAGGGATGTTTTAAAGATTAAAGATGAAGTATAGTATATAGAACAATGCCTCAAGTTTTTAGAAAAATGCTTTTCACCCCATAAGTATTTGTTGCTGTTGTTACTGTTGTTTTTAATGACTGACGAGAGTCATTAAAAACATAAGTTATGCAACAGTTGAAAAAATGGACAACTGAATTACTGTAACAGAGCAGTAACCTAGGGGAGACCAAGTATTAGGTTTATAAATCAGGCAAGTGTCAAATGCTTAGCATGTGTTTGTCAAAGACCTTTGGAAACTACAGGGTTTTTACTCTTATGTTTGTCCCCATGATGTCAGGGTTTGTGAAGGGTCTGGGATTTTACCTTACTTGCAAGCTAACATATTAGCCTGTTACAGAAGACTGGAGACACCTACATCGGAGCCAGAGGGCTTTATTACTCAAAGCACAGCAAGCAGCATGAGCGTGGGTGTTAATTCCCCACATCCACCAAAAGTCAGTCAGGTGACAAAGATAGGCATGGGTGAAATGAGAGCTATGCACTCAGAGGATTTGTGTTACAGCTGAATAGCATCGAGCTTAGGGAACCTACTGCTTTAACAGTGGACCATGAGCAAGGGGTGGGTTGTGGCAGGGGGAGAGGGTTATTTTCCTTGTAGTTGTCATGTCCTGGTTGACCCACCCCAAAATGGAGACCTCAGGCCTGGGAGTTACAAGCCTCCATGAGCCAAAAGTTCATTTTTAACTAGAGCTCAGCCGCAGACCAATGATTGCTTCCTCTTTCTGAAATGTGTGTGTTATGTGTTGAAATGTGTCCCTCCCAATTCATATGTTGAAGCCTTCACCCCTAGTACTTCAGAATGTGATCTTGTTTGGAGATAGGGTCTTTACAGAGGTAATCAAATTAAAATGAGGTCCTTAGAATGGGCTCTAATTCAGGGTGACTGATGGCTTTATGAGAAGAAGAAATTTGGACACAGGACCATACAGTTCATACTGGGACCATTCATACTGGGAGCTTACAATGTGAATATGAAGACAGCTGTGTACAAGCCAAGGAAAGGGGCCTGGAACAGTTGTTTCTCTCACAGCCTTACCCAGGAACAAAACCTGCAAACACCTTGATTTTAGATTTCTCCCCTCCAGAAGAGAGACAATAAATTTCTGCTGCATAAGCCATCCAGTTTGTGGTCCTTTGTTATGGCAGCCCCTGCAAACTAATACAGGATGCATTTGGTGCCTGTGCCCAGCAGGTGGTGCTGCTGTACTGGGCAGTGGTCTCACTGGAGCTTGATGATTTTTCTTTTTCCCTGGGATTCTATGTATCTATTAGACCACCTGGAAAGGGTCTGGGAATCCCTGACTGGGAAGTCCCTTCTAGTCACTATGAGTTTTATAATACAAGCATGTAATGCATCAATGTCATCGTACATTTGTATGTAGCGGGGAGGGAGAGTGTTGACACACGTCACAGTATCTTGAATTGGCTTAAGGTCCCTTTCATTTTTCTTCCTTGCTGTGAAGTTGGCTCACACTCCATCAGTTGAATTCAGGTACTTTCCCCTGCCTAGTCAGAACACAGACATGGCCAAGCATGATACTCACTCCTGTAATCCCAGCACACTGGGAGACCAAGACAGGAGGATTGCTTGAGTCCAAGAATTCAGGACTATCCTGGGCAACATAGTGAGACTCCTTCTCCATCAAAACATTTAAAAAAATTAGCCAGGCATGGTATTACATGCCTATAGTCCCAGCTACATAGGAGGCTGAGGTGGGAAGATTGTTTGAGCCCAGGAAGATCAAGGCTGCAGGGAGCCGTGATCATGCCACTGCACTCCCGCCTGGGTGACAGAGTGAGACCCTATCTCAAAAAAACAAAACAATGATAATAAAGGAACAGAGACCAAAGAGTTTAACATAGGTATTTCAAGGGTGGTCAGAGTAGTTTTAAGGGATTATGCTGTCTCCAGCTAGGGGAGAAATCAAGAGTGCAAAGGGGCAGGGAGGACTTTTTGTCCTTTGGCTTCTTGTTCTGGAATGGGTGCTGCTTCCTCTCTTGTGTTCTCTGGCTCTGAAGAGAACTGCCGCTCAGAGCCATCATTATTTCAGCCTTTGCTGGTGTCACTACACAGCCCTTCAGTCTTTGGAGCTCTGGGTCACCCCAATGCTTAGCATTCTTGCTTTCCCTGGGACCAAGTAGACTTTGGCACCCGTGTCCAGGCCAACAAAGCCATAAAAGTTTGAGGCCCTCCCTGCCCTACTGTTCCCCAGCATACTTCTATAAAACGTCAGAAGTTGGAGAAGATGCGGGGGAGGGGTAAGGGAATGGAGGGAGACAGCAGCTCAGTGCCAGTAGGCAAGGCTTTGTATTTACTTTCTGTTTCAAGTGACCTCCTTCCACTGGGCTCAACAAACAAGTTTCTGATGCTTTTAGTCTACCCACAATTCTCTACCCTCATTGCTGACACCATTTGTTTAAGCTTTAGGGATCCCTGAATTGAGTAGCCATAGCCACGTGGCCTTGTCTTTTGGTTGGAGCATGGGGCTTGCTGCTCCAGTGTCATGATAACACCCTTCCCTTCTCCCACCCCAGAGGGGAGCATGCCACCACCAAAGCACCATTAGGACACCATGTTTCAACCCTACGTTTTGTTGTTTAACCACATTTGACACATAGGATGGTGAATAACCCTTATTCCATTTCCCCATCCTCACCACCATCTAGGCAAGAGCATTTACTACCATATCTCTGGGAATCTTCTCACGTCCTCCAACCCAGCCACCCACAGCCCTGTCCCTTCTTTTCCAGAAAGTCAGATATCTCTATGAGCATCTCACCTTTGCCACCAAAACTATCAGGCCATGTAAAGTGTCTGGGATTTTATGCTACTTGCAAACAACAATAGTCCACCTGATCTGTGGGTGATATGGTCCAAGAATCCCATTGGATACTGAAATCATGGATAGTGCTGAAGCCTATGTATACTATGGTTCTCCCAGTACATACATACTTATGATAAAGTTTAATTTATAAATTGGCTACAGTAAGAGATTAACAATAACAAAAATAGAATAATTATAACAATATAATAAAAGTTATCTGTATGTTCTCAAAATATCTTATTGTACTGTGCATATTAGGCATATGATATTTTTCTTTTTTAAAATTATTATACTTTAAGTTCTGAGATACATGTGCAGAATGTTCAGGTTTGTTACATAGGTATACATGTACCAGGATGGTTTGCTGCATCCATGAACCTGTCATCTACATTAGGTATTTCTCCTAATGCTATCCCTCCCCTTGGCTCCCACCCTCCAACAGGCCCCAGTGTGTGATTTTCCCCTCCCTGTGCCCATATGTTCTCATTGTTCAGCTCCCACTTATGAGTGAGTACATGTGGTATTTGGTTTTCTGTTCCTGTGTTAGTTTGCTGAGAATGATGGTTTCCAGCTTCATCCATGTCCCTGCAAAGAACATGAACTCATTCTTTTTTATGGCTGCATAGTATTCCACGGTGTATAT